AGACAGCACACACACACACACACACACACACACACACAATCAGTTTTATGTCTGTCAGTCTTTGTTCTGTTGTATGTCCTCCCAGTGTTTTTTTTCTATGTATTTTTTTGTGTGCCCAACTGAGCACCCTTGAGTAGTGCCAAACAGTCGGTGGTTCCTTGTTTGGAGTGCCTACTGCACTCTTATGGGGCCCGCTCTGTCGGGATGTCTGTGTTGCCTGTCGGTAATGACGGATGTTCGTCGGACTGACTCCCTGGCTCACTGGGTGGTGGGAACCAACAGTCTGCAGGGTTCAACCATGATGTGAGTAGGTCATGTGCTGCGTTGCTCCGTGTTGGATGTGTGGACGTCCTCGTCTGTGCTCCGCTGCTGCCCTGCTGCCTGTCCCGCTTGCTTCGCATGTGGTTCTTTGCAGGTTGATGTGTTCGCTGTGCGGTGTGGCCGTGTTGTTGGTGTTGCCTTGCCCTTTCCTGCTCCGCTGCCGTGCTGCTCATCCGCTGGCCAGGTCTTCCATGTTTGCCGCTTGTGTGCCCTGTAGGTTGGTTGCCTTGTTGCTGGTGCCTTGTGCTCCACTCCATGGTTGCCGAGCTGCTGGTCCGCTCGCCCTGTCGTCCCCTGCAGTGCTGCGGCCTTGCTTGTGTTGTCTTGTGCTTCACTACATGGTTGCCGCTCTGCATGCCCTGCGAGCCATGTCATTCCATGCAGTCATTTTTGGCATTGTGCAGCCGTGTTGCCTGGTGCTCCACATGGTTGCTGCCTGCTGCTATGTTCCGCTTGGGGACAGTCTGCCTTCAACAATGGTCAAAGGGTTCATGACCCAAACCATCAAAGACGGAGATTCCGCAGATTGTCGAGGGTTCAGCCTCCTGATGAGTCGGTGCAACTCCGACGAAACAATCTATCATGTTTTGTTATTTTTCGCTTTGTGTTTTTTTGGTGCTTGTTCTTTTGTCTGCCTCGGTGTCTTGTTGCCGGGCTGCTTCTCAACTTCCTGTCCGCTCTTTTCTTGCCCACCTGCCTCTCCCATGCCCTCCAGCCTACGTTCTGTGCTGTTGCTTCGCAGCCCTAGTGCTACTTCTTGACTTATTGTTGCCGCCTCATTCTTCTGACTAGTGCTGTTTGTCTGCCCGCCCTCCTCCCCCATGCCCTCCACCCTTTGTTCTTTGCTGCAGCCTTGTCATCCAAGTACCGTGTTGCGCCTTGACCTTAGCCTTGTCATTTTGCTTACCTTGTTGTACTTGTCTTACCGCTGGTCGGTTTGGTTTTTGTTGTCCTTTTTTTTTCGTTTCATGGCTTTTGAAAGCTGGGCATTATAAACATTCTTTTCTATGGGCATCCCTGGCTGCGGGCTCTTTCTCGGTGTTGTTTATAAGCACACTTTCAGATGCAACATGCTGCGACGCGGTTGCAGAAGGCACACAATACAAATATAACCCCCCACCCACTTACACACACACACACACACACACACACACACACACACACACACACACACACACA